GGAGGTTGATAAGTTTACGCAGGGGGTGGTGTGACGGGGTTGCCGGCCATAGCACAGGCTGGACTCAGTAACCCGGAGGTTCTTTCCAGTTCGATGTTCATAATGGCTCCTTCGCCCTCTGGGGCCCCTTCCCAGCCTGCGACTGCTCCCCCTTCCTGTCCCTGCCCTAAGGAGCTGGGGGCTCTCCTAAGGAGAACCAGGTGAGGACAGGATCCCCAAGCTGAGGGAGCGACCAGCAGTGATGGGGCAGCGCAGAGGTCAAGGGGGAGCAGAGGCTCAAGTCTTGGGCAGGAAAAAGTGGCTAGAAAACTTGGTGAGTGTGGAGTGGAGACGGGATGTGGGGTGCAGGGGGAGGGCACGGCACATTGCATGAGCAGGGAGCGGGAAGGGAGACAGGGCAGTAGTTGGAGAGGCAGGTGCAGGTCAAAGGTCGGTTTGATGATGGGGAGAGCAGCGCCTGGCTGTACTTAGAAGGAAAAAGCCAAAGGGGACTGAGAGGTTACAGAAGGAGGGAGATGCAAAGGGTGTGGGAGGGCAGGGGTTAAAGGTGCAGTGCAGATGGGAGACCCTGGTGCCCATGACAGGGGGAAGGGTGTAGGAGCGGGGGAGGGAGCTCCTGGCAGCCCCTATGAAGGGCTCGTGGATAAGATAGGGTTACCATTCGTCCGGATTCCCCCGGACATGTCCGGCTTTTTTCAGTTAAAAATAGCGTCCGGGGGGAATTTGTCAATGTCCGGACCTCCCCCGCCCCCATGCAGAGCGTGCGGGGCTTACAGGGCAGCCGGCCAGATGGTGCCACTCGCACGGGGCTCCGGCAGCCAAAGCCCTTCCTCCACTTCCCCCCTCCTCTCTCCTGCAACTTGACACCACTCCCCTCCTCCCTCCCTCCCCCCGCCCTGCATTCACAGATCGCCGGCCGTCACCTCGGCCTCGGGCCGTCTGGAGCTCCAACCCTGCTCCCCTCCCCCTGCCGAGCGCGCCGCTCTGCAGCACATAAGGGGGCCCGGGGCCAGAGAAGCAACAGGGAGGTTCTGGGGGGGGGGTAGTCAAGAGACAGGGAGCAGGGTT